TCAGAGGTTTGACTGTACATGTTGAAATGCCTGCCAAGAGAGAATCACAATAGTTTGGATAGAACAAGAGCTTGGACAAGGAGTTGTGTAGCATGCTCTGATAGTAAGGGCCTGATCTTTCTTATGTTGTATAAGGCAAATCTGCGGGACTGGGCAGTTCTAGCAATCTGATCATCAATCACAACTCCAAAGGCTGTCCTGGAAGGAGTTATGGGTGATTAACCTAGCTGAATGGAAAAGTTGGGATGAAGTGTTGGGTTGGACGAGACCACAAGCTGTTCTGTTTTTGCTTAAGTTGAAGATGGTGGTCCATCATCCAGACAGAAATATCTGTCATGCAGGCTTAGATGCAAGCAGCCACCGTTGGAACATTTGGCTGGAATGAGAGGTAGAGTTGTGTGTCATCAGTAGAGGTGGGCGATGTATTGTTTAGACGATAATATCAAAATTGTTGTGTGGATGATATGCAAAATTGGGATATCGAATATTTCATAATTTGCACAATCCAACCCTACTACCTGCTACTAATTTGCAATACAACTACGGAGTTCTTACCTGTGTGTTATGCTGTTTCTTATGTTGAAGCAACAATTCAAAAACGTAAAGAGTAAAGCTGATGTACAATTAATAAAATAGCTTCTAGAAAAGGCAAAATAGCGTTGTTTGCGGAAAACTGAAGTTAAAAAGTTTTCTTTAAAGGGCACCTATTATGCCCCTTTTACAAGATGTAATATTGGTCTCGGGTGTCCCCAGAATGTATTTGTGAAGTTTAAGCTCAAAATACCCCGCAGTTAATTTATTATAACCATTTGAAAATGTCATTTTTGGGGCGTGTTTTAAAATGTGCTGTTTTGGTGTATACGACCTTAAATGCAAATGAGCTGCATACCCCCACCCTGCCTTTGGATGAGGGCGTAACTTGATACCTATGGCAGTTGGTAAGCAGAAGGGCTGAGAGAGTCTCTCTATAAATAGTCTCTGATCAGACCCAGATGACGAAGAGACTGCGGCAGAATAAACACAAATGAGAATGGACCAGGACGTCTCGGTATGGTTATTTGATACATTTATGTACTTGTACCGAGTTGTAATCGCGTCCCCTTTGAAAATATGGATGTGTAACACACACACACACACACACACACACACACAAACACACTAACGTTGGCACAATTTTTTGAAACTATATACACGTAACAGGACCCTCGCATAAATGTAATTTCACTTGTACGTAGAAAACTTTCTCACAGTATGTCATGTTTACTTGTCATACAGGTGCTTCTGTGGCAAATGTGAGAAGATGGCTAACTTACAGAACAACAACATATATGCAGTTTTTAATACAATATCATTAGAAATATAAATAAACGTGTGGTTACACACTATACAAACAAGGTTTAAATTATATTTAACCTACACAGACATCCTACGAAGACGACGACAACATCTTTAGACGCATTTGTTGTTGAATTGGCTGACATCGACTGAAATGACTATTTGCTGAAAAACACTTACTGTTGCTGGAGGTGTCGTTGGATCGCGAACAGTAGAAGACCATCCACAGTTGAGAATTAACTTTGAAGCAAGACCTGCTTTCAATTGACCCTCGTTCACAAAACAGTCAGAAAATGATTTGCTCAAACATATACTTATTTTTCTTATTTAAAAAAAAATATATATATTTTTTTTCTTATTTTTTTTTTCAGAGCCACTTAAATTATTTTCAGTGGCTCTGATGTCGGAAATAAGTGAAAACTACTATGTATGCCATTATTACTGTACATCCCATCCCACAACAGAACACTTATGATTCTAGGAGACATTACCGGCTGTCGTTGAAACAATTAGGATGCTGTACAGATCACAGAGGGCGGGGTCTATGCCACAAACACACTGTCAATCAAACCCCTTGCTCAATTCTACGTCACAAAGCGCTGAATCTTAGAACAGCTCGTTCTGAGACAGTGCATATGATTTATTGAGATTGTAAAAAAAACACTGGGTGGATTTTTATCATTATAGGGTGGTTTTGCTCACACACTGCCAAGACCCATTTATGTTCAAACACCATGTAAAAGTGAATTTTCCATAATAGGTGCCCTTTAAATGTAAGTGGCATCCTCAAGTGACGAGCTTCGTGCCAGAAGAGCTAACAGTGAGACATGGGTCAGCTTCTTTAGCCTAGAGATGTTTTTTTTTAGAGCCAGTGCAGTATACAAAACTTATTACCAGTGTTGTTCGAAGTACATAATTTAATACTTGAGTAAAAGTACATCTTGTTCTACTTGCTGTAGAAAATACTTTAATGCTTTTTACTTTGGAACCTTTGGAAAAATGTAGGAGAGAGTAGAGTATTATATTAATCTTTTAAATATAGAGGCATAAAAGTAATCAGTTCTAAAAAAAATAAAATAAAATAAAATACAGATCTACTTAAGTTACTTACAGTTTACACTGGTGTTTACCAAAGAAGTGTTTTGTAATTTCAAAAGCATGTCTATTACTAATAGAGTACTGTTTGCTACTTACATATATTGTACTGAAAAAAAGCACTGTTCTTGTATTACAATAAATATTTAGTACTGTAACTTGGTTCATGTTTAAATCAATAATGTCTCATATCTTTATGTACTAGTAATTGGCTTTATGCACAGCTCCACTACTTCCTGAACTTCAGCCAGCTCCTTTTTTCCTTTCTGCCATTATTGGACAAACTGATTAATCCAGGTGTGTCTGACCTCAGTAGTCACCTCAGTGGATTAATCAAGTTTGTCCAATAATGGCGGACAGGAAACAAGGAGCTGGCTGACGTTCAGGAAGTAGTGCAGCTGTGCATAAAGCCAATTCTATACAATAATAGGTCAAATGCAGCAAGTCAAAAGACCAACTGGATCTTATTTGCCAGTTTGCACACATTTCTTTGAAAGATTGCAAAAATATCGTCTGAATATTGATATCGAGATATTGAAAAAATGAATTGTTGTTAATATCGATCACCCCTAGCATAGCTGTTATAGGAAAATCAATGTTCCGAATGAGATATCCTAGTGATGAAGCACTGAGAGGCTTCCCCTTATTGCTCCAGAGTGAAAAACCTTTTGAGTCCTCCAACACCCTCTGCCTGGAAATGCCAGAGCATCTGGTGCCAGTCATCTGTTGAATCCTTGAGAACCGGGCCCAGGCTGGGTCCAATATATGTGACCCAGCGGGGATATGTGCATTTCTTCCCCGGCTGCTTCTAAATGGAAGCCTGTGTCTTTCTCTTGGGCTAAGTCACCAAGTATTTATATGAAGTACAACCTTAGTCCATATATATACTGTATATAATATATATATGAAGAGTTCAGATGCAAAAGCCTCTAAGTGCCATTTGAAATTTTCTTCTAGAATGATCATTTTTATCAAGCTTGTATATTTAAGTATAGTAATTTCACTTAAATGGCAATGATAATTACCTATTAATTGTTATTAAAGTGAAATTACTGAACTTAAATATACAAGTTTGATAAAAATCATCATTAAAGAAGAACATTTCAAATGGCATTTAGAGGCTTTTGCATCTGAACTCTTCATATATATATCCACATAACTCCTTTGGGGAAGAATGTGAATGTGAATGTGAAGAATGTGTTTTTGGCCAGAGGCTAAAGACTACAGTCAGTAGTAGGGGCTGTCCCGCATGTTCTGAACCCACCCATAGAGGGTGGGATATCACTCACAGAATCAACATATAGTGTCAGCCATCTTTTTTCGGAAGCTAAGCTAGCAGGCTCTTGTTCTGTGGAAAAAGCGAAGTAGTATGGGTGACCATCCTCTTTTTCCCGGACATGTCTGGCCGTTGATGTCCAGGATTCAGCTTTTGCTTTCTGAAGGCACCATTTATTGTTTACCTTTTGTTTCAGTCTAACTGAATTCATTCTGATTGGTAAATCTGAATGTAGAGTTTACATGAACGCTAAACAAGTGATCGGTTGTTGTGCGTTTTCACATTGCTAAGAAAATTCCCGCTCCTCCGTGAGGGATACGAGACCGGTGCGTCTCACAGGTGTCACTCATCGGTAATCACGACACCGGCCTCCCACTGTTCTCCCGCTGCCCTCACTCGTCCTGCTCGCCACAGTAAACATAATGAATGACGACTTTAGAATGCAAAAGCCGAATCCCGGACATTTTGGGCGATCTTGAATCACGTTTTTGGGCAGACTCATCATGGAGACTCACTAGTAGTATAGACTTGTTTAACCACTGCGCTCTGTTACCAGTAGGCGTGGCATCTTAGGGCAGCGACGCACGTGCATTCTGGGAGTTGTTGTCTTTCATCCACATAAGCCAAGCATACATTTTCTGGCTTTTCTCAGTCTAGAAAGCTCCAAATTCGAAATTAATTTCACATTTCTTCTACAAAGTACATAAATGACCTATTTTAGATACACATTCATCTTTCCAGAGGTGAAGTATCCCTTTAAGAACATCTTATAAAATTTTGATTTTAGCATAGACAAGAGGGAAATGTTTGCTTGAGCTCAACTGTAATTTTTGAGCCACAAGCACCACCAAACAGAATTATAAAAGTAATGACTGTTTGAACAGGTTTCCCGAACTCTCCCCTGTCTGCTATTGATCAGATAACCCTCTCCCAAACACTCCATTGGTTGAGCTAATTTTGCTCAGGATTCTCAAACAAACAGGGCAATGTTTGATTGCGAAACAAATTATTAATCTTTAAAGTACTGAAATTCCTATATTTTTCGAAAACGTCCGTCTCATTTAACACTTTTCAAGGAAGAATATATATCAGCTGGGTGAGATGACTTGAGATTCAGCTAGGCTTCAGCAAAAACTGGCCATAATGTTCCACATAAATCACTCCGAAAGAAAGACCTATAAAAATGCTAAAAGGATAAAAGTTTAAGCTTGCCTTTCACAAAGAAGTGAAGTATCTCACAAAATCTGCTCTGATAAAGAGAATAGAACTGAGTGTAGTCTATCTGTTTCCTTAGCTGGGAAGTGGACATGACATGAGGTCCAGTCTGAAGCTGCCACAGATCTTCTGAGGGACAACGGGCTCGAGATGTCATTGCTACAGTGCAAAATCAGCTTGGAGTCAATGCCAAGGGAGGTAGATGAATGTAAATACAAACTGAAGGATTGTGTTAATCAGCCTGGATAAGGAAGTTTCCCATTAGCTTTCTCTGATGAACTCTATTTTAGTTCAGTTCTGTCACATCTACTGAGTGTTTTTTCTTTTTGTTAAAAATAAAAAAAAAGAAACCGCCGATAGTATAGGGCCCTATGTTTTCTATGAAGACAAATTGCAGAATCCAGTCATTATAGTGGAATTTATAACGTGACTTTTCACAGAATTTAACAAATTTTGGATGAATAAATCAAATGTAGGGCTGCACACCTAATCAAAACACTACATGGAGTGTCTGTGAATATTAAAGTGCAAAAATAAAGAGTGGCGTGGTTTCATCTGCTGTTTTCTTTCATGTTTAAATATTGACAAACCTGCCTGTTGTGCAGCACTTTGTTTGCCAAAAAATAAATGTAATTGTTGATTGATTCAAAGTGCTGATACGGCATAAAGATTTTCAGAGAAATTGAAAAGTTTACAATGTTACATTTTAAATGTATAGCCTAGTTTTAAAGTAAAATAAAAAGAAAATGTTTTTTTGATTCATTTAAAAAAACATTTCTTAACTTTTCTTAAAAAAAAACAAGTTAAGCCACAGAGACAGTCAACATTGACAACATTATTTGTTAACTGTTAAAGTTCTATGAATGAATTTGATTAGACATGCTTTTGAATATTTAATTAAACTAATAAAATGCAATCCAAAGAAATAAACACTGAATTTGGGAGAAAAATTTGAGCCTTAAAAACGTTATACATTTTTAATATTTTAAATAATTTAAAAATGTTAAGATTTCAAATAATTATAGTTTACTTTTGAAAAACTTTTGCTGATAATTTACTCACCTCCATGTCATCCAAGATGTCCATGTCATTCTTTCTTCAGTCGAAAAGAAATTAAGGTTTTTGATGAAAACATACCAGGATTTTTCTCCATATAATGGACTTCAATGAGAATCAAACAGTTCAAGGTCCAAATGAGAGTTTCAATGCAGCTTCAAAAGGCTTTAAACGAACCCAGACGATAAATAAGGGTTTAATCCTGCGAAACGATCGGTCATTTAAAAAATAAATAAAAAAGTTTAAGTTTTAGAAGCACAAATGCTCGCCTTGCTCTGTTCTGTGATGAGCTTTCATGACTCTCCTGTTCAAACTCGTTCATCAAAATGAACAAATCTTTTTTCGAGTCATGACTCGAATGGTCCTAGATAAGACCCTCATTCATCGCCTGGTGTCGTTTAAAGCCCTTTGAAGCTGCACTGACTCTCATTTGGACCTTGAACCGTTTGGTTCCCAAAGTCCATTGTAAGGAGAAAATCCTGGACTGTTTTCATCAAAAACTTTAATTTCTTTTCGACTGAAGAAAGAAAGACGTGGACATCTTGGATGACATGGGGGTAAATTATCAGCAAAAGGTTTTTTTTTAAAGTGAACTACTCCTTTAAGCATTTATTAATCTAATGTTAAACTGTATATATTTTATAATTTTAATTAATCATACATTCTACAATTATAGATGCCCTTCTTTAATAATAGTGTAATATTTTGTTAGTTCTTCTGTGTGAATAGAAGCTCATTGAGGCCACAAGAGCCTGGCACATCAACTGAACAGAATTGTCAAGCATTGCATGCTCTCTTAGAGTCAAAAGGACCATTAACACAGCAGGGAGTTCGCTGTGGGAGTTAACACCCTCCCGCTGAGAGACGGCACACCAACTTCCTCTTATTCTCCAATGACTGTACATAAAGCTTATGACTGAAATTCTGCTAACAAAATGGCTACCCTTACGAAAAAAGTAAGCTTCAAGTTCATTTTATGAAGCCTAATGTTCAATATATTTTTAAGTATGCATTATGTAGTAAGTATACTAATGTCAATATGTACTACTAGTAAACTTGTAAGTACAGATGGCATGACTTTTTTAGGTTGATCTGTATGTTTTTTGACCGTAAGCAATTTGCTCATTTTAGAGGTAAACGCTAGGAACGATAAACACAAATGTGTTTTCTTTCAATTTTGCCCAGTGTCATCTGTATAGTTTTTATCCATATTTTGAAGAACCTTTTATTTTTATATTATCAGTTTTACTTCACGAAAATAGATCCAAATTCCAAACAACTCGTTTGAGCGGTTTAGAGTCGACTCTTTCTTTTGAGATAAACTAACTTTATTTATAATGTACTTTCAGCTTTCAAACTTTGCAGTCGGTTTAATTTCACGTACAACTACATCACACACTGCATGAAAGGTATTTTTCAAAAATCCATAATAGGGGGACTTTAATAATAATGACCTTGATTTTACCATATTTTTTAGTTCCATTTAATTTATTTTCCACAATCAAGTCATTATTTTCACAAAAAGCACTCATAGTAACAGCTCAGTGTACCTTTTTAACCATTTAACTTTCAAGCCTAAAAGGAGCCAATGAAAAAATGTATTTTTCTTAAAATTATTATTATTGAACATATAAAAATGACCTAAATAATACAACTCAACAGTACAGTTTAGATATCTGTTATGATAAATCTTGTTTTACATGTGTAGTACTAATCTTTTTTGAATATAACTACATACCTAACATTGTTAGAAGGTCATAGATTCCTTCCAAATTTTTAAGGGTTCAAATGAAATTATATTTATTCATAAGGGGTGTTAAACGAGTAATACTTTACCTTGGTATAATGTGTTCAATGTAATATCAGGCCATTTTCAATGTTTTTAATTCATATCATTTTGATAAATTCAGCTAATTTCAATAAATTATATTTATTCAGCAATTAAAAGCATTTTACACAACAAGTATGCTGCAAGCTTTGTAAAATATCTTAATCTATCTCCCATTAATTATATATATTTTTAGTCATTTTACTTGAGATACTGAATGTATATCATGCAATAGATGCAATACAGACAGTGGCGTAGGTTTGATTTTGAAATTGGTGGGGACGGGGACATCATTATATAAATATATTAAGTTTTGATTGTAATTATTGCTAGAGATATATCCAATGCATTCTCATCCTAGGGCGTCATATAGTGACGCTTTTGACATTTTGTCTAAATCCAACGCACATGGCACCCTTTAGCATCAATATAACACGTACAGAGCTTTGGTTATGGTAGGTTTAGGTCTGGGGTAGGGTTAGGGTTAGACCACAAGGAGGCGTCTTCTGGACCATATACTGTATATCTGCGTCTTATATTGACACTTAAGGGCGTTGTGTCCATGTGCGTTGGATGTAGACGAAATGTCAAAAGCGTCAGTATATTACGCCTTGGGATGAGACCAGGCTGATATATCAGTGTCATTGGATATTGGTAGAGACACGTCCCTACTAAATTCTACGCCCCTGAATTCAGACATGCTACTTCCGCCATGTTGGCATTTTCAGGTGACCTTGTGTTTCTTCCACGCCATTTATTAATCCTCTCCCAAGGCCTCATGGGATAGTAAAGTCTCCTTTGGATACATACTTCAAAATATTGTCATCCCAATCCATGTACTTTTCAACCACCATTTTATGGATACTGTGAATTCAGACATACTACTCTCCTATAGCCTGCTGTTTTTTGGTGTGTTTTTTTTTTCTTTTTTCTTTTTTTTCTTTTTGCCTAATACATTGTAGGGAAGTGGGTATATTCAGATGTGGAGATCTGCTTGGTGCCATTCTGATATGTTACACACATTTTATTACCCAATCTAGAAATCACCTAAATTTTATTCCACAATTTATTAGTGTGGTATAGGATCTCCTTTTGCGACTGATACAGCATCAGTTCACCTTGAGAATTATAGAGAGACGGTGGCCAAAGAGATTTTGATCCATTCCTCTTGCAGAACAGCGACCAGGTTGAGTACGTGATACTAGTGGTGGAAAACTTTCCCTGACTTGCTCCTCCAAAACAGCCACTCCGTCACCAATCTTGCTGTGTATATTGATGTAACAATGTTTGGGAGCACATGGTCCTCCTGAATGGTTTGGTAATCCCAAGCGGCAACATTCTAATCTGAAAGATGAAGCCTACCGGAAGTGCGATAAACTGCAATACATCTCAAATCCGCTAGAGGCCGGTCCCAAAAGGGAGCAAATATCCATAGACGTCATGTTATAATGTCCGTTTTCACAGCATAAATGTTTACAGTTTGGTCCCATGGACTTTTATTGTAATCTTCAATATGTTCCGCGTGCCTGACAACTGTGAGGGGGGTGAATTTTTTTCTAACTCGTTAGTTTAGATCATATTTAGATATAAAAGTATGACAAATAAGGGCGGTTAACTTTGATTGACAGCTGATAACGGGCTGCGCCGAGTGAATTTGACGTCTCGGCCATGATCTGACGCAACGCATCATACCACCTCTGTATCCTTTCTGAAACTTTTGTATTTTGTATTTTCCAAGATTTTCCAGTATGGCGCCGCCCATACCCCCCATAAACAGCTTGAAACCCGTTCTTCAGAGAGTCTATGAGTGATGTCACAGACGCTTTGTCCATACTTTTTACAGTCTATGGGTAATCCTTGGTAGTGACATGCCCATCTAGCAAGTCTTGGGCCTGTGATCCGCCCCCATGTTTAATACTTGGCACTCGAAAGTCTGGGGGGTAAGCCTTTTTGGGCATTCTCTACACCATAACTCCCACGGATGTGGGTAAGACAGTGATAATGCATTCAACAGAGAACAATACATGATTCACATTCTCCTCAACCCAAGATTTGCTCTGCTGGCACTATTGAAACCTGACATTTGGCATTGGCACATGTGACTAAAGGTTTGGCTATAGCAGCCTGATCTTGAATATTAAAGGGATACTCCACTTTTTTTGGAAATAGGCTCATTTTACAACTCCCCCAGAGTTAAACAGTTGGGTTTTACCGTTTTCGAATCCATTCAGCCGATTTTCTGATATTTAGAAGAATTTCAGTAACCAGACAGTTTCTTCTAAATATCAGAAAATCGGCTGAATGGATTCGAAAACGGTAAAACCCAACTGTTTTACTCTGGGGGAGTTGTAAAATGAGCCTATTCATGAGCCTGGAGTATCCCTTTAAACCTGTGGGCTTACTGATGTTTCCATATTTATGTTGTTTACAATGGTTTGATTCCCAGCTTAAAGGCTATTTCCACCAGACATGAATATGTATTGAAAGTGGGTCATATATGGATCTAATTTGGGTCCTTCTTGGCTGATAAAAGGCAAAAAATGACTTTTTAGTGCTTGTGGATTGTAGACAACAATCCCCATAGTGCATTGCAATGCTTAGCTCCGCAGGCCACTCCCACTACTCCACCCATCAATGTAGACTAGAGT